CACACACACACACACACACACACACACACACACACACAAAATAAGGCCAGGCATGGTGGTGCACATCTTTAATCCCAGAACTCCTGAGACAGACACAGGTAGATCTCTGAGTTCCATACCAGCCAGGGCTACATAGTAAGACCCCCTCTCTCTCTCTCCAAAAAGAGTAATCTTTCAAAATAATAAACTACTGTTTCTGCAGCTGGCTGAAGACCATGCTACTTCTGCACAGTCCGCATTGGTGGGACAGCTGTTTTCTCACCTGCTCTCTCTTGTGATTTCCTTCCAGAGTCCCACGGGACTACTGCTGTTTGGTGGGACCCAACCAAGTCTTAAACCCTAGCCACCAGAATCTGAAAAGTGGAAGGTTTGTTGTTGTTTAGTTTTAAAGCTTAGTCTTAGTGTTCTTTGTATAGCATGCCAATGTGCAATTTCTGCCATGGCAATCTTTAGCATATCAAGAAAAATATCCTTCTATTTCTGTTGTATGATATTTTGTTTGTGTTCTGACAAATAAAGCTTGCCTGGAGATCAGAGGGTGGAGCTAGCCACTAGTTAACCATAGAGGCCAGACAGTGATAGCTCACACCTTTAATCCCAGCACTTGGGAGGAGGAAGCAGGAAGATCAGGAGTTCAAGGCCACTCTGGGCTACACAAGATTGAACCAATCTAAAAGAGAAACAGAGCCAGGTGGTGGTGGTGCATGCCTTTAATCCCAGCACTAGGGAGGTGGGTAGAGACGGGATGTCCTTGCTTCAGTCTGATAGAGGTAAGAACTCTTCAGTGGCTGGCTGTTCTGCTTCTCTGATCTTTCAGTTTTCACCCTCAATATCTGATTCTGGGTTTTTATTGTTAAGACCAATTAGGATGGCGTTTCATATTCCTTTGATTTTTTTGATAAATATGAAAAATATATATTAGTGGTTTTCTATTCTTTTGCAGGGGCATTGGTTTCTTGTTTGTTTATGAGCAGGGTCTTCTGTAGCTGAGGCTACTCTTCAACTTGCTATATAGCCAAGGATGACCCAGAACTTCTGATCCTGCTGCCTCTACCTCGTGAGTGCCGATATTACAGATGTGCATCACCATCTCCAGTGTATTCGCTGAGGATCAATCCCAGGGCTTCATGCCTGTGAGGCAAACACTGAACTATACCCCAGTCTCATTTTGGCCACTTTTAAGTGTACATTCCAATGGTAATGGCATTAACTATATTCCCATTATTATTCAATCAATCTGCAGAACTATTTTTTAGACAGTTTCACTATGTAGCCCAGACTGACCAAGAATTCACAATCGTCCTGACTCAACCTCCTGATTGCTGGGAGTGCAAGCATGTGCCACTGTGCCCAGCTAATGGACAGAACTCCATCTTGCAGGACTAAAACTCTATACCTGTTAAAAACTCCCCATTCCTCCAGCCCTTCATCCTGGCAGCCACCATTCTTTCCATTTCTATGAATGTTTTATTTTGGGTATCGTTTGACATCATACAGCATAGTCATATGTTGCCTAACAAACGAGTATTTTAATTAAAAAAAAAAATCTCATTTATGGATCAGGCATGGGAGTGCACATCTTTAATTCTTTAGGGAGGCAGAGCTCTTTGAATTTGAGATCAGACCGGTCTACTTTATCGAGTTCCAGGCCGGTCAGGACTACATAGTGAAATCATGTCTCAAAAAATTCCTGGTTTATTATTAGTCTGTGCACATCTGTATGTGTGCATGCACATGACACAGAGCACAAGTAGAAGTCACAGGACAACTTTGTGGAGTCAGTTCTCTCCGTCCACTTTTTTCGTGGGCTCCAGGAATCAAATTCAGGTTACTAGGTTTGCACAGCGTTTACCCACTGCTCAGCCCCTGAGAAGTGTATTGTTAGGCAACTTTGTCCGTGTGCAAGCATTGTGGTATACAGTTGTATGCTAAGATGGCTGCATTTCACTGGGTGTTGTGGTATTATGTACTGCTTGCTGTTCCATGTAACTAGTTTATTGCATGTAACATAATATACTTAAGTCAAACTTCATTCATTCAAGTTATAGCATAGAATAGAATTTCCTTATTTATTTTTTGTTGTTGTTGGACAGGATGTCTTGTAGCCCAAGCTGATCTCCAGTTCTGTATGTAGCAGAGGCTCGTCTTGAAGTCCTGATCCTCCTGATTCCATCTTCTGAGTGGTGGAATCACAGGTGTGTAATGTTTGCTCAGCATTCTTTCCTTTTCAAAGCATCAGATGTCTGCATCTCATTTTTTGATACATTCACCTGGCGATGGATATTTGGATCACTCTATTGTGCATGGCATATATATTCTTCAAAAATAGCCACATATTCTTCTTCTTTTGATCTATATGAAATTTGAGAAGAGGGCTGCTGAATTTTATTAAATGATTTTTCAGTATGCCTGAACATGGTATTTTTCTTCCAGAATGCTACAAATATTTCCCATCCCATACACTGGACACAGTTTCACTGCTTCTGGCCATGAGAGAATTATAATCCTCCTCCTTGACTTCCTGAATTTCTTAAAGTCCAGGCTTGTGTCTACAGATCCTGCCAGAGTATCCATTTGTACTCAGTCGTATGTATCATGTTATATGATAATTGCCCAGGGCAAGGGTCTCCAGAGGGCTGCATATGTTTGGAATCAGCACCCAATGTGTGGGTGGTTTCTTTCATAGCCAAACACCCATGTGTTGACTTTTAGAGTCCCTTACCCACAATCATGATATCCCTCACAGGAATTCTGACCCCAAAACTCACTTCAAAGAAATACAGCAATGAGCTCATTAAGCATTTTAAAAGTTTAGAATTTCCTGGTCCTAAAATGCCCCCCCCAACCTTGAAGCAGCCAGAAAACGTTTATAGAATGTTTTATTTTTCATTTTTAATGAAAAAATTCTTTTTCGTTATTTATGGGGGCGGGAGTTGAACCTAGGGCCTTATGTTTGTTAAGCAAGTGCTTAGCCAAATCCCAGGCATTTCTTTTTTTTTTCTTTTCTTTTTTTAACTTTTTAATTTTGAGATAGGGTCTCACTGAGTTGCCCATGTTGACCTTCAACTCACCATAGGCCGTAAAGACCTTGACATGTGTTTCTCCTTCCTTGGCCTCCTGAATTGCTAAGGGTACAGGGTCGTGACACAGATCCAGCCGGAGAAGCCATTTGGAGACAGTCACATAGCTGATACATTATAAGATAATTCACTGCATGGCTGGGGCAAGCATCTCCAGAGGGCAGCGTATGTTCAGAATCAGCTCCCAATAATGGCTCATAGCCAGA